GAGGTGGCATTTGCTCCTATCGACAACGACACGGAACGGGTCTTTTTCCAAGAATGTGATCACAACGAAAAATAGGTTCTGTGGTGCTTCTGCACAAGGGGTGGCTCTTTGCACCCCAGCCATACAATACTCTAGCAATTTGTCCGGGTAGTCTCTCGAATCGCTCAAGCGAGCTGGTGGCAAATGTGGGAGAGACGTTCACAAGTACAAGCTCGAACAAGCCCTGAAATTATGTGCCGCCCAGACAAGCTCAATCTACCTGGTACTCTCAGTGGTGCCTACTCTTGAAGATATCCTTTCTGCCGGGTAACGAGTTTAGAAGACTTGTGAGCCAGATCTACCTGGTTAGCCAGGTTTTCCACTCAACAGTCAACAAAATTGACATGAGATAGCTTTCTCCAGCCTTTGAGATCTAGTGCTTCACCATTGCCTTGCAATCTGACCAAGATACACGTCTCTTCCGCCGCCAATATGGCATATACCGATCTAGTATTTCATCTACAGTCCCTAAGTGCTGTTGGACAAGGTCTCGATAACCTAACCACGCCTTGGATTGACCTCTGCTGTAGTAGTGCAACAGAAGGTCTCAGAGATTGTGAGCAAATAATGAAATCTTGGTGTTGGTCTCAACGCTCCGATTATCCTTCACCCTCCAGCAGATAATAGAGGAAGATGAGGAAGAAGACAAGGAGGAAGATAAAGTCTATCCTAATATCAGTGTCAAGCTCGCCCCAATCCACCCCTCATGCTTTTTGAACGGTAAAGCGCTGAGTTTGAGAATCACAAAGAACTTGTAGCTCTACACAAGAAAGTTCCAAATCTGTTGCGCTATCGGGCATCGCCGAAGCCAAGGACGACTTACTGAACCCTTCGGAGACTATGGTGGTCACCAAGACTACGTCAGCTACGCACAAATAGGTACTAGGAGAAACGCTCTAACGGCTATCAACTATCGTCCTTCTAGCTCATTACAAGAGAACACCTTGCTACCTAGATTGAAGCTTGACCTTCATCTACCATCCTCAATACAACCGCCATTTTTGCCAAGATTTAACCAATCATGGCTAGGTAGAAAGAAACCCGATGTAATGAGCCCTTTGACTGTTGATCGGTCTGTCGGGGGATAGATAGCACTCTTCGATGGGAGCTCAAAGCTCGGTGCCCTTGAACCCTTGCCTTTTACCCAGGGTCTGTCAACATGAAGCGACCTTGAGAGCCATATGAGCTCCTATTCAGTCACAAGCTCAGACGACTCGTTTCTTCGAAAAGAAGAAGCAACAAGGTTCTGATACAACGGAGTATCAGAATTCCAGAAAGATATATACTTGTTCTATTTTTCATGGCAACAGCGAAACTGCATTTGAGAAGGAGAGTTTCTTATTTCAAATACCCAGATCCAGATCCAAACAGATCCAAAAACATGTTGAGTATTGGCGTCTGGGATCACCAGGCAGCAGTCATTGCAATCTGCTTTGCTCGACAGCGAATGGAAAGAAATGATGTCGTCGGGAGCTCACCTGTCGGCAATAATGTTGACGCGGGTGTTCTTAATGACTACCCGTATACGCCCACCACCATGTCATCTTGATGACCTTGTACTGACACCCTTCGCCAATGAGCCCTACTTGTCACTTCTCAGATCATATAAAGGATACACTGTCGTCAAAACTGACTGCGCTTTTTACCATTTTGTTGGGGGAGAGTTGACTTTTCGCTGGTTGAAGTTCTGCACGACAAGAACAAGGAAAATGTCGACTTGACTCGCAACGACAGCCAAGTTTCCATACGGATATCTGCGGAAAATCCTTATAGGATCACAAGAGATTACAGAGTTTGCATTCGTTAAGTGGTTCAACCTGAGAAATGTGTCTACTACAGGACAGGTATTGCGGGCACTTTCCACAACATCACCGCCACATTTCATTTGGTCATGTCTAGATCCCCCGGCAACATGAGCGCTTCTCGTTGCCTCATTCAACGTTCACAACAATGCAGCAAGAGCATCCGATGCTGGAGGAAGCGATTTAAAGGTAACTTGGTGAGGCAAGAACTTCCAACGAGAAGATTACCAACATGTTATCACCCGGCCATTTCCAAGTCGATTGCAAGAAGCCAGTCAGCCTCATCTACGTGCCATGGCAAAGTTCATTTTATATACTCATCTAGCTCAAGATTAGTCTCGTGACTGAGGTTGCTGCTACATCTGCAATACGTGTCAAGACTCTCGGGACATGCTGCACCTGGTCATAGGAAGACCAGGCAATTCTGGTGGCATGAGTCTCTTGCCACACACGAGTCTGACGCATGAACTTGGGCGACCGAATCTGTCTTCCGGCGCCGCTGGGCAAGGATACGACATGGGGGAGGCTTGTATGACCAGGAGCTCCGAATTCCAACATCATCAAGCTTATATGTCAAGTACACTGATCAAGAGCTGCGGGACGATTTCAACAAGCTCCCACACCTGTCATGAACCCATGCTTCAAGACGCGTGCCAGAGGCTTTGAGAGAGCTGAGATACGTTCTGTTTTCCATCGATATGGAACCCAATTGCAAAGTGCCTCACATTCACATATCTTCCTGAAGCCGCATAACTCTCGCCAGCCGAGTAACTCGCTCAGAAAGTCGTTCTTTTCCACCACAAAATACACATCTATCAACTTACCAGACAATGAACCTTTTTTATATCAACGGGCGTTTACTACAACGCCGAGAGCAGCGATTCTTTTGTATCTGACGTCGAGTCAACACTCTCGAGCCTTTCAAATACAAGAAGCCTGAAATAATAGTTTTGCCTTCTTAGTCTCTACACCAGACAAGCAGAAGACTTTCCCAACCCAAAAGGGAGCTTTGGGAAGCCAACGACACGATCTCCTTATGTCTCCGAGATCACACAGGATAAGACAATTTCGTGGGTCAGCCTGACTAAACTCCTCACATCGATCCCCTCAATGCCTAAAGATCTGGATTCACACGACGTTTAGGCAGCCGTCTCTTCAACAGCCTCGGATGAGCCGCCATTGGTGTGGAAGAAAGCTGAAGCTTGCCTCCTTCATGGCAATATTGAAAATCCCAGGACAAGTCCAAAAACCTTCTTCTGTCGCACAGAGAGAGAACTTGCCTCTTGGCAACGACCTTGAGCGCATTCTACCATTTCGAAGAGACCAGGGTTTTATTCCTTTTCAGCGTGCCTGCCCTATGGGACCCGGCTGATGTCTTTCGTGAACTCAGTATTGCGCCAACCCCAGTGCAAGCCTGTTGATCTACGAAAGGCATATTCTCACGAGTCAGTCTAGGATCTCTCGAAAGGATGGCCATCAAATCACAGTAAAATGGCCTGGTGGGATGATGGAGATCTTTCCCCAGGCTCCACACTTTCCGTATAGTCCATCTAAGGACGACTCACCAGGCCAATACTATCGGTATGTGAACTACGTCAGCGAACTGTACGCAAAAGTCAAAGAGCCAGGGGATAATTGAAGAACGCCAATTCCCAGGAATTTGACAATAGTGCTGTTCCAAGTACTCTATCCAAGTCGAAATGTTGCCAATAGATGAACGCTTTGCGCCTCGGAAGAAGATCCGCAGCAAAACAAGCATTGGAATATGCATGTCATGGCGATTTTGAGTCGACTGCTATACACAGCTTTACACAATACAAAGCCTTTTGGAACCAGAAGTTAAACTGTATATGACGTTACAAATCGTATGCTCTCTGAAGCGTAGTCAAAGTGAGGGTGTTTCTTCGTTGTCTTCTTCAGTTCCTGTTGTGTTCGAGTAATCCTGGTGTTCTGTTCATGAGGATACGGCCACTTTACTGCATGTTCAGTATCTACGGCTCACTCGTCTCAAGAATCAAGTACACTGAAGTGTCGGATGTCGACACAGGCGGAGACGGAGACGAGGAGAAAGATTTGCAAGCCAAAAAGCATTCTCAATGAAGAAAGCGATTTTCACGGCGAAGTGTCACTTCTGACGCAAGGCTTCACCGTGTTCAACGCCTCCTCAAAATATTTATTTTACTTGTGAGAATATAATGGCCATACCTAGAATCTGGATGATTTGAGTAAGAAGGGGCGAGGTCTTTCCATCAAGCCCAATCTCATATCTGATGCGATTCTTTCACCAGCTCCGAAAAGTTCTTTGGGGTAACTGAGGCCTTTGTATCGACCGACTTTCATGACTTTTGCCCTCTATCGCATCGATCCAGACAGTCTACGACATTGCACGATAAATTCTGCAGCAGAGTGCTCCTTCAATGCTAGAGGTTACACCACGAAGGAAGCGAAGTGCTGCCATGCAGTATCTAACCTCGATCCTTAATACACCAGGAAATACCACAACCGCTGATGGCGGACAACAAGAACCGAGTTGAGTACAGTCATGCACCACGAATATTCCAGGAGCAATTTTGTATCTAGATGAACGGAGGGCTGGCCTGCTAAATGTGGGGTGAGGATGAACAATGGTTTATTGAAGAGAAACGTGATCTCAAACCGGAGCTGTTATGTTGATTAGTCTCAGAAAGCCCCGATAATTTTATATGTGGCACTCTACGACAGTTTCTAAGTATAACCTACAAGGTCTCCCTAATTTCTTTGTACAAATTCCTTCCAATTACCGATGTTCAAGAATCAAGTCTAGACACCTTTTCCGTTCACAAGGATATGGTCAGTATCCACATGACGGAAGAGCAGTCCGTTCGAAAGTTTCCTGAGATTTCTATGCTATCAATTGTTCTACTCGCTTCCAAACCTACAATACAAAGCACAGATACGAGATGTTATAAGCACACTGCACTGTTCGCCAGAATGCCTGCCCGTTGACACCCAGAGAACCTTACCGAACAGTTGAGTTTCCGTCGACAGCACGTTGTCAATAGTGTGTTCGTCGAAGAGAAAAGTGTATAAGAATACTGAGATACTCCAAACTATAACTGCGATAACCAACGACTCTTCCAGGTCCTAAAGCTAATCAGATACAAGCAGATACAACACAAAATGTTTCAGCTCGTCAAGAAACTCTTCAAACGACAGAGTCCCAACACTGGCAATGACTCTGACAATGAACCCAAGGCAGCATTTCATAGATTCGGTCAATTGCCTCAGGAAATCCAAAACTTGATCTGGGCTTATGCTATATGTGTTGATGCTCCACGGGCCTACTTCGTGGATGTCAGGAAATTGCCCGACAACCCTCGAACACTAGAAATGGTACACTCTATCCCAGCAAATCTTGGTTGGTTTCCTCCTCCGCCGGCTTCAAACCCAAAAGGTGATTATGACCTGATGCGAGTTTGCCGTGCATCATACCAAGAGATCACCCGCTGCTGGAACTTTTATCGGCCGCAAGTCCCTGCCCGCATGATACTCGACAACTCGCATGACAATGCTCTGAGGAAGAAGAAATTAAGTAGCATTAACATCGATGCAGCCAGCGACCTGGTCATTGTCGAGAGATGGTGTCACAGTAGTGACCGTGTAAGTGGGATCCAAGGCGCCAGAAATTACTTGCCGCTTTGGATGTCCCTGATGTTCGACGGTCTAAGAGGCATCCAAAGTGTAGCTATACCGGTCGACAAAAATCTTAATTTCAACGACCATTCTCCGTATCTGGCATACGTGAAAGCCGCATTTCCTGATATCAAAACACTATATTTCTGCGTGCGGCCAGCTCAACTAGTTCGTTACAAGTGGAGCCACGTAGAGATGCCCGCCTTCCTGAGAACTCAACCACGGCCAGGTAAAGAAGTCTTCAGGGCTCGCGGCCGCATATTCTACGAGATCAGTGCTCAGGACATGAAGGACGCTGGAATCTACCCGGAAGACTTGGTTGAACTGTGGCTGACGAAGGAGTGGAGGTGGCAGCGGAATGGCATGCCTCGTATCAAGTTCATGACTTGGCAATGGATCCGGTGATTGATTCATTGAAACTTATGGACTTTGGTCATTTGAGGTGGTTCACAACATTTAGGTAGAGACTGGACAGGTTGTCGTTTGAGTCTGATGATGTTTTCGGAGTTACTACGGTCTTGGGCTTTTTATGGGGGGATGACGATGGTTCAAACATAGAATTAAATAATGATTCATAACTATACTTCCACTTCTCTCATAATATATCTTTTGCTTCAAAATAGTGACTCTTGTTATGTTCCGAGATAAATGTGTTCACCACTAAGTTACCAGCTCTTGTAAGTGATGCACGTGATGCGGCACCCGAACCGCAGAACAGCACCCCACGTGATCGCATGGAAGCTGCTCGGCAGTCCAGCAGCACCCTCTTTACGTACGTACCTCCCCTCCATCGCTCAAGTACACGGCGAAACCGGAGCCATTAACTTTCGCTTCGTCGCAACACATACAATTTCTCGAAATCAATTCCTCTCTATTACTCTCTTTCTAAACTAGATCCTCGGTTTAGGATCCCTCATAAAATAATACTCGAAACGCCAGTTCCTTTACATCCGAGGCATCGAGAGCCATCATGATATCGACCCCGCCACCCCGCTCCTTGCGCGACAAGTGTCTCGAGCTGCAGCAAAAGGTCGAAGCGTTCATTGCTGAGGAGGCTGAGACACAGACATTGCGCGATGTACAGGATCAGGTCCGCAAGTCGATAGAGGTCGTCGATGAAGCGTTGCAGAAATATCGGTGCGTCTGTCGGATGGGAAGGTCGGATAAGGGCTGACGGAATCAGACCGGAACAAATATCGTTATCATATAATGGCGGAAAGGACTGTAAGTCGCATAACGAGGGCCTGGGGCTTTATCAAAGTCCTTTTTACGGTCTTGCATGTATCAGCGACAGATACTAATCATCCCAGGCCTCGTTCTTCTGATCATCCTCCTCGCTCGCATGGGCCGACACTACTATTCTACATCCGACACCACCAACGGCACTTCCGAACTCACACCCCCCGAAAAGCTCCAATGCGTATACATCGTCGCGGCGCATCCCTTTCCCGAAGTCGACACATTCGTCGAGACGTCCAGCGAAGAATACGGCCTTGAGGTTGCGCGCTACGTGCTACCGATGAAGAAGGGGCTGGAGATATATCTTGAGGAACGACCGAGTATCAAGGCTGTCTTTGTGGGAACGAGAAGAACGGATCCCCATGGTGAGAACCTGACGTTCTTTGATCCGACGGACGCTGGCTGGCCGTCGTTTATGAGAATACATCCTGTTATTGACTGGCATTATGGTACGACCCTCTCCATGGCCCTGGGCTCTACTTTGCAAGTTTACACTGAATAATTGCTAACTCACTTTCTTACAGTTCAAATCTGGGCTGTAAGTCCCCACTACCGTCATGCGCCGAATGAACTAACATGTCCAGTTTATCCGACACCTCGGCATTGAGTACTGTCCTCTATACGACCAAGGCTACACGAGTCTAGGCGGTATAAAGGATACACATCCGAACCCCCATCTGAAGAAGCAGGGTCAAAATGGGCAAGGTTTCCGGCCCGCATATGAACTAACTCAAGATGACGAAGAGCGACTGGGCCGTGATTCATGAGGTGACTGTATTTGTAAGGCATGTTGATGTTGCATAGGAAGGCATTTTATAGAGCATAGACTCGTGGCGTTTTGGGTAAATCGTCTCAATATCTCATCACATTTAGCTACCATATTGCTTCTGTGCCTGTCAACCATGCGCATGCTAGACCTCGTCTACAGGCACCTGGTCCACATACTCCTCCAGCCTCTTATATGTCTCCTTCCTTATCTTTTCCGCTTCAGCTACATGTCCTTCTTTTTGCAGAAAGGCTTCTAGCTGCCACATATCATGTATAACCTGCGGCGAAGTGCTCGAGTAGCCAAACTCGCGCAACGCGATCTTGTTCCGCATTCTGTCCGCCACATTGACATCCAACCCGAGTTCTCTATCAACGTCCATAAGCACCTTCATCAAATAGGCCATAACCCTTGCTTGAAACCGCGTGTGGGACTGCGGTATCTCATCGCTTGATTGTTCGTCAATCTCGTCAAGAACACGACTCTTGAGTAGACCCAAACGCACGAGGCTTGCCATGTTTGACTCTCCAAAGGTCATTGTGCAGCGATGCTGTATTGCCGAGACGCAAAGCGCTTTTGTGATCTCGTAGTCTCTCGGCGGTTCAGCATCCTCTGTCGAGTTGGGATCGGTGAATAGAACAGCCTGTCGGAAATAGGAATCCTCGTGCGGAATCTTGCTTTTCACGGCTGAGAACCATTTATCAAGACCATCCAGTTGATCCTCGCCAAGCTTGATACAGGAGGATTCCCAGACTAGGCGGTAGTACATGGCCAACAGTCTCGAGTCGTAGTTGCTGAATATTATATCAGCATTCAAACCCCAAGCCTGCTCAAGAAGGTGCATTTTCTCAAGTGTCGCATGCTTCTCCCAAAGATACACCGCTCTTTGCAAGCTCTTCAGCATCTTGATGACCGGATACTGCATCTCATGGGTATTACTCGCCAGCTCGACTAGTTGCATAAGAAGCATGCCAAGAAGCTGTGTCTGACCAAGACGAACCATGTGATACATGATTTCCAAAACATTCCAGATGAACAGCGGTGCCTCGACCTGTAGCATATTCTCGATGTCTAGAAAGGCTTTTCGGGTCAAGCGGCCTGCTAGAACGCCTTTTCCGCGTTGAATGAGCTCAACGATGGTCCGAAAGGCGAAACTCAAGCCCTCGGGATCGTAACGGTTGATTTTGGCAGTTCGCGGTGAGGAATGGATGTTTTGTGCGTGTAATCCATCGATATAGAGAGATTCATAGAATGAATTACTCCAGTCGTGTATACTTGTGAGAAACTCAAGACTGCTTGTCTCCAAAGGATCTGGGCTTGGGGAGAGAACGAGGGACTGGCTATGGCACAGCGCAGCGTCTGGCCACTTTTGAGTCTCTGGTGTATTTCTTGGAGTCGGCATGTTGTTCTTGCAAGTGTTCTTCACATTTCTTGGTTTTGATTTATAGAACCCCCATTTTGTGAAGCGTCTCTTATACATCTGAACTCTGGTTCCGGTATGAGCTTGCGATATGTCAGACAGGTGGGTGATCTCACGATGCCTTGAAATTATGCTTCTCCTCCATGATCTGCATGATATGTCGAAGCTTTCTCCGATCTTTCATGTACAGTCTCTCGATAATGGGATAAACAGCTGTCCATTCTGCCTCTCCGTGATGTAATGAGATGGTCGGCTTGTTCGGAGGTGATGGCGGATCAGAGGGAGGTTTGGCTGCGAGCAAAGTAGTCTTGAGCACCATTTTTTAAGCATTAACTTGGAGCCCTGTAATCTCGAATGACGGCGGATGAGAGATGATGTATGTGTTTGAGATGTTATGCTGAACGGGATGAGAGGCATGATGAAAGCGGCGCATCTCACATGAGGAAGTTAACATGGCTGACTAAACGCGCGTAAACCAATAGGGTAGGTTCAAGCTGCAACCGATAAGATTCGGCAAACATTCTTCAAACACGGTAAGATTTTAGAACATGGTCCAAAATCATGTCGATCTCTTATTTATTTCAATAATTCATAGCGTCTTCTCAGTTTACTGAAGTGGCAATGAGCTACGTTATAGTGGTTTAACTAATTGATCTTAGCAAAATGGCTATGGACTTGGTGTAAGCCGCCATATGCATGCTTTTGGAGTATAATTATGATCGAAGCCGGATATGTCGAGCTGATATCAACACACGAATGCCAATAGACTCTTTTTAAATGCCAGAGAGACTCTATAGAGAAGGCCAATAGTCGACAATCAAGCTTTTTTTAGTTGTGTTCATTGCAAAACTCCCAGGTCTTGTCGTGCACGATTTCAGGTCAACATTATCCCTTCTCTATTATGAGTCGAACGAGTCTCATACGAGAAGTGGAAAGCCTAATAAACACGGTATCGACACTTCTGCTACCTTGTTGACAGGTAGACAGTGGATAGAAGCAGACAGTCTCTTCATCCTACAACGGTACTTACATAGAAAGGAGAACCAAGGGACAGGCTGTACGGAGTATGGGGACCGAGAAATTCGCCCGCAAGTTGGATGATGCTTACTATATGATTGCTAACAAGACCAGGTATCCTTTGCTTATATGTACCGAGTCAGGGCAGAAGATTAAGGTGACTTTATCCGTATGGAACAAAGGTTTTGAAGAACTCGAGATTACAGCGACTCTTGGCAGGGCAGACAGCCAGTTTTAAATGTCCACTTGATGGAGTACTTGTACGAAAGAGGTACTGTACAAGGCTTGATCGTGTAGACTGATCAGTTAGCTGAGATTTAGCCGGAGTTAATGATATGATACTTGACAGATTCACTCCCCAGCCGTGCTGTAATAGCCAAGGTCATTAAGCGAAATCATAGACGTGCCATTGAATACCCCACCGATAACCCCATCATCACGTTGAGATGAGACGAAAAATAAGCTATCACCAACGGCTTCTAGCGCCGGGTATCTGAAACATCAAAGAGTGGATCAGGATCATCTTATCTTGTCGGCATATCGTGGTACAACACAAGAAGCTGAGCCTTTTGCTTGTTCCAGTCATTCACATCACAGTTTATCTATCTACGATGTACACCAAAGATCAAGAAGACGCTGGAATAAAGATAAGAATGGTACCCAAACGATTGTGTCTGTGCTGGTGATCATCTGCATATTTAACCGCCATCCTCAGATTTTATCCGCCCTGTTCCTGAACTAATACTCTGTTCCTGGATCCCTCCTTTCATGGATAATTAATTGGTCAACAGCAGGGCAATATGCAAGGAACCAACAAGTTTGACATTGCCGAACACCCAATGCCAATTTACCCGGGTAATCAGCACAACCTGGGTCGATCTCTTGTCACGATACGCTATCTCCATTGCTAGTTTCGGTCCCTGGCCCGACAAAATATGCATCCCTGTCACAGACCTGAGACGAAGCGGGACGTGCCAGGGGACTTACACCACAAATGACTGACGGAAGATATTTTACCGTAAGGTTAAAGGACACAAGGCTCTCGTATGCAGATGGGACGATCTACATGGGCTTTAATGATATTGCAGCGGCTAAGCTGGAGGTCGGTCTGTCTACGTGGTTAAGCTAGCGAATGGATATATATCATGACCTCGGGTCCCGCATCTATACTCGCTTCTTCTTTATTAACAAACGCGAGTCGTTTATTAACATTCCTTCCTTCTTTTTTCCCTTCTTTCAGTAGTTCAAGAAAAAGCAAAATACACTCATTTGTTTGCCTTTTTTCAACCTACTATACACATTCCTTTTCCCAACAAAAATGCACAAGACTACACTCCTTGGACTTTTGGCCTCGAGCCCTGTCTCGGCCCAGCTTCACAGCCTGGCGCAGGCCGCTGGACTCAAGTACTTCGGCTCAGCTGTCGATAACGGATATCTCAGCGATGCGCCCTACAGCAAGCTAGCTGACGACGTTGAGGAGTTTGGACAGCTCGTTCCTGAGAACGGACAGAAGTGGGAGACTGTTGAGCCCAAGCAGGGTGATTTCGTTTATACGACTGCTGATGTTGTTCCGGATCTTGCGAAGAAGAATGGTCAGATTTTGAGATGCCATGCTTTGACTTGGCACAGCCAGCTTCCTAAGTGGGGTGAGTGATACTACATGTTTGGGTTGGGGTGATGTGCTAATGGATATAGTTTCTGATGGTGCTTTCTCTGCTGAGGAGCTCACTGAGGTTATCGAGGCTCACATTGCCAACGTTGTTGAGCACTACAAGGGTGACTGCTACGCTTGGGACGTGGTCAACGAGGCTATCGATGACAACGCTGAGTGGCGAGACAGTGTCTTCTCCCGCACTCTGGGAACTGACTTCCTTGGCATCTCCTTCAAGGCTGCCCGCAAGGCCGATCCTGCTGCCAAGCTGTAAGTATCCCTCTTCTCATGCTATAGATGTGTCTGACCGTTTAGGTACTACAACGACTACAACCTTGAGCAGAACGGTGCCAAGACTGACAAGGCCGTCGAGCTTGTCAAGCTTCTCCAGAAGGAGGGCGCTCCTATCGACGGTGTTGGTTTCCAGGGCCATCTGATCGTCGGCGAGACTCCCTCTCGCTCTGAGCTCGCTGCCACTTTCAAGCGCTTCACTGATCTCAACGTTGAGGTCGCCATCACTGAGCTTGACATCCGCCACGAGTCTGTTCCCGCTACCGCCGCTCAGCTCAAGACACAGGGTGATGAGTACGCCGATGTTGTTGGCGCCTGTCTCGACACCAAGGGCTGTGTTGGTGTAACCGTCTGGGGTATCACCGACAAGTACAGCTGGATCCCTGGTGTCTTCGAGGGTAACGGCGAGGCTCTTCTTTACACCGATGACTACGAGAAGAAGCCCGCCTGGACCAGCGTCTCCAGCCTTCTCGCCGCCGCTGCCACTGGAGCCCCTACCGCTAGCTCCGCTGCCCCCGTTGAGACTACTGCCCCTGCTACCACCCTTGAGACCAAGACCAAGCCTGTCTACACTGTCCCTGGCACCACGAACTACATGAACACCACCGCTCCTCAGACCGAGCAGACTCGTACTGCTCTTGCTACTGAGACTGATGATAATGATGACGACTGTGCCGAAACCGAAGCCCCTTTCCCTACCTATGCTATCCCCACCAACGGAACTCAGGTTTACCCCACCAAGGCTCCCGTCGACGATGACTCCGATGATGACTGCGCCGAGACAGAGGCTCCCGTCCCCACTCAAGCCCCCGTTCCCACCGGCGACTGTGACGAAGAAGATGGCGAGTTCGAGCCCACCGTCGCTGCCGTCGAGTCCACTGCTCGCGTCCCCGTCATCCGCAGCAGCTCAGCCTACACCTACAAGTGGAACACCGAGACAGCTGCTCCTCAAGTTCCCGCTCCCACAGGCACTGCCCCCGCTTATCCCGTTGGAACTGGCTCCGGCGGTGTTGTCAAGCACTACTACCAGTGTGGTGGTAAGAACTACAAGGGACCTACTGAGTGTGAGAAGCCCTACAAGTGCGTTGAGCACAACGAGTACTACTTCCAGTGTGTTTAAGGGGCATAATTAGATGGGATTTGGTTGCTCTATTCTTCATTACTACATGTACATAGTTATCTCTACATAATTTACTGTTCCTTGCTAGAAGCAGGAACTATTGCAAACTTCGCCTCATACTTGTAGTGAATTTGGTGACATGCAAGATCTCGCAAGCTTAGACACAGACCAAGATTCTGGATTCACTTCTAAGAAGGCGAGACGACGGGTATCCGATGCCATGGCACACGTAGGTCTTTGGTCGCACGACAGCTCCTTTCCGCATAGCAGCACCATTTTCATCCTTGGCAGATCACAGACTTCTACCTACAATATACCATGATTGTATCAAGCTGGATTGGCTCGTCAACACAATCTCCAACCTTGATGCGATACAACAGCACTCAATCCTCATTAATATTTCACGGAATCTAAATCCATTCGTCTGTTTTGGGGTCTTGATTTAGCGAGAAGTGAGCCCCCCTCTCTATTAGACCCTCAGAAATCCATCCGCGACCTAACGTTGAGAGTCAGTACCTTTCGTTGATCTTGGGCATTCGACTTACCTGTCGGGCCCAAAGCTTGACTGCGCCCATCACACGATGATGAGGGAACCCTGGCCTGATCCTCAAGACTTGGGATAAGAACTTGTTAAAGTTCGTGTCTTCCATATACACAGAGAAGTCCTCGTCGTCCATACTTTCGAGCTTTGCAAGGTGAGTATCCGTCACCTTCCTGGTCGAGAGCTCAAGCATATCCTCGGTAGTGAGATTCCCTATATCCGATTTCGGTTCCTATTTCCTATCATTAGCATTCTAGTCTCTTCCACTCAAGAATGACATAAATGAACTTACACCGTAGACCTTCTCGCGTACTTCTGCAACCATATTCTTCATGAGCCAATACTCGAGCATTATTGGAGTACCAGGTCGGATCCCCACAACCTCTTTCATGAACTTGTAGAATGATGGGTCGCGTTGAACCAAAGCATAGAACTTACGCAAGCCTATTTCATCGAGCTTGTCGAGGCAGGCTTTGCTTGGGTTGAAATGGTATAGACTCAATAATTCTGCGTCGCCGAGAATCCATGGGCTCGGTATGTAGAAATTACGATTCTATAAGTCTGGAATTAGATATTATGTCTAAGGAGCTTGGGGGACTCATACCATGGTATCCAGTTGTGCTCGTGTTACGCGGGGCCGCATCTTGACCGAAGGATGGAACTTGTGTTATAGAAATTGCGTAAAAATATTTTACAGAATCAGAATTTACGGGGAAATGCAAAAGTGTTGGACTGATATGTCAAGTCGTATACCTCGATATGGTTTCTCTTAAGGTTCTGTATACTTATTATATGTTTTGTGTGTAGGCCGGACACTTTAAAATATATGAGGAAGCTCTAGGCCTCCCTTCTCCCTCTGTTCTGTTACATCGGTTCGGGTTTCTGTCTTGACGCAAAAATAAATGTTCCAAGAAATGTCCCCAGAGATAACTCTCAGTTCTATAGTTCACTATTATCAGCTTCATGCTAAGGCTGATGATTCGTTCACGAGCATACACAAAACACTCACATTTCTAGATGGCATTTTATTGAAGTTTATTGTTTTCAATGAACTTAAACCCCGCAAGGCCCCTAAAGAGTGAAGTCTAATAGGCAGGGGGTGTGAGAGTGTTTGGATGTCATCTATAACGATCTAACACAGCCAATCTGTTATTTCCTAGTTCTTGTCATCGACTAGATACCTAGAACTGATAGAGAAGACATTAATTTTGAGTGATCAAGTAAAATAAGCCTCAGATTTCCAGTCAGTCATGGGATGAGATGAACCTTATATCTCTCGTTGACCTTCTAGAAGGTTCCCAAGGCTTAACTTTTAGGCACACCATGTCACTATGGGTCATGAATCGTCAGCTCTAGAAAGTTCTTTTCTTTAAATCTGCGCTAAACTGAAGCTTCTGGAAAGAATCATATCGCATAGTTTCGCCATGACTCATCGTGTCATAGTATTTGAGTCTAAAGTTTCTTACCATCCTAGGGCAGTGGGAGGATATTTCCCAGTTTCATTGACCTTGAAGGTTGGAATCAGGAGTGGCCATTGATAGCTCCATCAGTCCGCAAATAATGACACAAAAGATTTCAACCTTCAGCTACAAAGTCTCGAGTCTCTTCTCCAGGATCTCAAGTCTGTCAAACGAGTTCGTCGCCGCCGACCACTTCAGTAGACAAGTAATTTCTAAACGCATAGATAGAGTCTTAGACATTCAGCAGTTGGAATCATCTCTCAGATTAGTCGGTCAAATACTCAAATAGAATTTTACAGCGTTATTCAACTACAATTATATTGGATAAATGCATTATACTTTACATTCTGAGTCATCCTATGGCAGTGTCTTCTATCTACAGTTGAGACTTGTGCCCTGGTGGCTGAAGCCTCTTTTAAAACCCTGCCCTTACGCCAGTTTCTGATTCTTATATAACTCCCTCTCTTCCCACTATTCCCCATCCCTTCTTCTTCCTTCTTACCATTCTCCAAACTCCGCCTCCCGAGCCTTTTCTGTTCATATACACCCATTCCACATATACACTTCCACATATACACCATCCCACATATACACCCATCCCACATATACATCTATCCCACGTATCACCTACCACTACCAGAACAAGACACCACCTTTATAAACAAATAACAATGACTTTATCAAAGCAAGACATGAAGTACCTTGCCAACGGCAAGGTCATTGCCGAAGAGGCCCTTATCGCCATCGCGGCAGCTAAACGCGATGCCTTTGAGAAGTGGTGCGGGACACGCCAGTTCCAGCACTTTTTGATGAGAGCTCGGCTCGGGAGCCCATCAGACCCAATGACCCTCCTACGTCTTCAAAAGTGGGCAGCTGATGAGATGTTTCATCTCAGGGCTAGTTCTTCAGAAGAGAGCCTGACACATACTGGCGGGAACCTTGGTCAAGATACGACTTCCAAGGTTCCCACAAATAATAAGAACAGGGCAGATGTTGAAGAAGGCCCTCACTTTATTGGCGATGACCTTATCGCCTTTGTTTAAGAGTCTGGGCACGTCTGTCTTTCGTTTTTCTCTCGTTCTTTTAGCAGGAGTTCAAGTCTGGTGGTTTTAATCCCTCAATGGGATTCATTATGATTCACGAAACTATACCAGTGTTATCAATCTCTCGCATAATCTTCATGGATATTTACGTATTCCAATACATTTGAACACAAGTTCAGTCGTTGCGAACCATCAAGTTCTTTATTGAAAGGGTGCATTGACGTTATGATGGGACGGGTATAGGCGAACCCCACAACCTTAATTCTGGCGTAACAATGGATTCGTAGAGTCTCAAGTGCGACATGTTAGACGAATGATGAAGACATCATTGGCGATAGATGCATTGAAATGAGATGAATACTTCAGAGGACGACAGCGAAAATTCCAACATTTGTAAAACGTCAAGGGCAGTCAGTTCAGAGAAGAACAAGCTCACTAACACCGGGATTGCGGATCTCACCCGGCGATTTTCCCCAGTCAAACACGACAAAAAAAGGCTAGTGCTGGCATCTTTACTGGTCAGAGCATAAGAGGGAAAGAAAAAAAAAAAAAAACATGCGACGGAGACAGGATTCGAACCTGCGCGGCCGAAACCAAAGCATATCGTCATTTCGAGTGCTTCACCTTAACCACTCGGTCACTCCGCCGTCATCTTTGAACTTTACAGTAACTATTTGTATGATGAAGGGAATCTCTGTAACTGACCACAACAGAATATCTAGAATCATGAGCCAGAATTCCAAAACATCCAATCACTTCTTCATCAAAACTACCAAAGTGATTACACTTACGGCACTTGTCGTACAAAACATGATAGAGCAGCAAGGTATATTACCAAGAATCACCATACTAGCTAAATACACAGTTGGATTTGCTTCCCGATACCAGCTAATCTAGAGATCCCGGGCAGCATCGTCATCCTCGCAGCACAGGGCCTTGCTGCCAGTCCAACAGCAGCTACCATCACCACATTGACTACGTCCCCTCTCACTCCAGCCAGATTCACACTCGCCTGCGCAGTAAGGAGCTGTGCCCTCCCACCGACAGCCAGAAGCGCCAACTTTGTCCTGCTGCTTTACCAACTTCTGGACGGCATCCTCGTCTTCACAGCACAGGGCTTTGCTGCCTGTCCAACAGCAGCTGCCGTCACCGCATTGACTGCGTCCTCTCTCGCTCCAGCCAGATTCGCATTCGCCTTCACAGTAAGGAGCTGTGCCCTCCCACCGACAGCCAGAAGCACCAACTGGCTTGTCTGGCACTAATTAGTGGAGAGTGTTGCTGGGTTGTGCATGTAGCTTACCGAGTGCTGATGCTGTGACTGCAACGGCAGCTGTGATGGAAACAAGGATCTTGAGAAGCATTGTAGCTACTGACACTGAGTTGGGCGAGGTATGTAGGTGACACTTGTGTGACTTTAGATTTAACAGAGACAGACACAGAGGCAAGACTGCTTCGAAATTGCAGTGTATCTTTTCCCTTCTTATACCTTTCACTCTCCCTTCTCAACATCGAGGATCAAGACTTCATTGTCGATCATATCAAAGCGTATAAAAGTGGCTGGCTGAGTATGACAGTTCTGTGCATGTATCAGTTGCTTGGACCTCAATTGAGGCCAGCCCCGCATCGGTGAGGATCGCTCAGCGAATGGATCTCAATTGAAGATGAGAAAAAAAGCTGGAATGGTATGTGATCAGCTCTTGGACTTCCTGAAGTGTTGCTCATGCCTTGTTTGGGTCGATTGAGCTGAGAGCTGAAGACTATCGTGACGTTAGCCTTACCAGATTGTGATAGCGACGACCCGGCAGAGGGAGACTATTGATGAACTAGTGGGCGATCTGCCACGTCACACGGGCCGTCGGCAAGGGCCTTGGACGCGAGCTTAGGACCATAACTTATACCATATACATATTAGACGCTGCCGTATTATTTATTCACTTTATTCCTCCTCGACATATCTCGATGCAATATTTGTGGTGTTGACTTTTACCCCGCAACTTTGGCTGAAGCACGTGGGACAGCCAGCCACATCACTCGCTGGAATTACCCAATGAGATGACTCAATTAACACAAGCCATCAAAGACCAATTACTACTCTTCCATGGGAGAATAACCAAGTCAAGATGATATCTTCTGATGGAGTTATTGGTGTTCATGTCAACTTGGCCTGCAGTAGCTCAAGCTCAATAAAATTACCCATCCTCATCATCCCCACGTGTACCCCCAAAACCACCAACGGACTTACACCAAAAGCCCCTCCAAGATCTACACTCCAACTCCACGTGCATCGAATCCGCATCGTCGTTGGATCTATAAACCTCCCGATCCGATCCGCGTCGATAACGATCTTCCATTTTTGGACACCGAGGAGCCGCAAAAGCACTCACGCGAGTTATATCCGTCTTGGCTTTATTTGAATCAAGCTTAAAAGGAACCCAATGTAACTTTAAACCTTTTTTCTCCGGGCACTCGAGCATCTCTCATAATGATAGCTACGTCTTTTATTGTTCAGTTGGCTTTGTTGCCTTGTCTGGCTCTCGGTTCTTCGCTTGCGTCGAGGGCGAAGGCGTTTGACTATGATTCCTTGACGCTTCGTGAAGTTGGTGCTCGTAACACTCTTGTAAGTCGTCTTTAATGGTTAATGGGGAGGGTTGCTGAATTATGCAGGACTGGCGTGTTTGGCTGGAGAAAGATGGCCAGCCTATTTCTTTCTGGCATGATATTCCGTTGTACCCTGAGAAGGGCAACAATCGCATCGTGAGCTACGTTGTTGAGATTCCTCGATGGACAGACGGCAAGATCGAGACTCGCCGCGATGAGCCTCTGAGTACGGCCTAACACCACGAATCATGTTTCCTTACTGACCGATTAAAGACCCTATCTTCCATGATGACAAGAAAAAGGCCCCCCGTTTCGTTGAGAGTGTCTGGCCTCACAAGTCTTATCCATTTCACTATGGGTCAATTCCCCAGACCTGGGAGAGTCCGAACTTTGACCACGATTTCACTGGATACCCTGGTGACAACGATCCCATTGATCTGTTCGATATCACTGAGGCGTGAGTGCTGTTTCCCGAATGACATGGCAAAGACTGACTTTTATATAGCCCTGCCCACGTTGGACAGGTCAAGTCTGTCAAAGTC